CCATTTCATTGGGTAGAATAAATGATTTCCTGTTCAAAGTATAAATCTTATCATCTAATCCTTCTCTCTCTCTTTTTTTTTTTTAATTTATTCCTGCAGGACTCATGTGCCTAATTTAGCAGGATATTTGTATACTATGAAGTAATGGATACCACTTATATGCATAGCTCTTGCCACTGTCTTCCTCTTCCTCCTCCTCTTCTTCTGCTATGACTCATATCTCTTTATTTTGTACAACTCCAAGTGGTAAGTATAATGCTCCCATCTCCTATTTTCCATACAACAACCCTGTGAAGTGGATTGGGCTGAGCAAGGAAGAAGAGCAAGTGGAATAGCAATGTGCCAGTTAAGTGGTATTCTCAGTGCATCAAACCCAAAAAAACATACAGTAATGGATTCATCCAAGCCCTGTGAAAAATAGTAACTTTCAAAAGTACTTTAATTGCATTTTCTTCCAAAGGTTTCATCAGACTTAGCCGAAAAATAGGGAGGGGAAAGGAAGAGTAGGAAAACTAGTGATTGTTCTTGCCTCTAATACCAGAAGGCTTCTAAGTTAACTCTGCCAGAGTTTGACAAATGTTATCTTTTCTTCAGCATGAGAAATTATGTAGGGAATGTTACAGTGAATATTTAAGTGAACCTTAAATTAAAGTCCCCATGCACAATTTATGACAATCTTGTTATCAGTTATATGTGGTCTTCCTGAAAAATCTAGAATCTGGGGAATCAATGGGATCAGTGTCCATCGTTCTGAGAACATGATGTATTTTCTGAAAGCAAAAACTGCCCTTCACTCACAGTAGAAAATCCATGGAACTTAGACAAATACCAGTCTTCAAAATGCTGAACAGCATTTCATAAAATTACTAGGTAACATAATGAGAATAAGCATAATGACCACCAGTGTAACAGAGGTTCATTTTTTTTCACATTGAGTATAATTATCTCATTAACTATTTCATCATGTGCAATTTATATCAACAAGAAGTTAGGCAGCCAAACTTTTCAAATCTAACCTAGAAAAATTAAATATGTTGATATTTAAAACATCAGAAACAAGTGATCACATGTGTATTTCAAATCATGTTTAAATGTTCACATATTCTATATTAAATTCAAATGTAACACAGTAAATTGCCCTACGTCTAGTATGTAAGGTTTGCCCCGTTCGACAGAGAAACTCCCGTGACACGTGTGGTTCACAAGAGGTTTACTCGTGCGTAACATAGCAGTCACAAGCAAAGCCAGGACTGGCTTGGTACAATTGCATCACTCGTT